AGGCAGCGTGTGACCCTGTCCAACCGTCACAATCAACTTCTCTAGCTATCTTCTCTCGCAAAAACAGCCTGCCAGCCACACTCTTCTGAGCACAACATCACCAGCTTCCTTTGGGCCATCTTGTGGAGCGGGACCTCTGGAGCTCTCCGACGCGCTCTCTAAGATCCTTTTTCCACCAGCAAGCAGCCCGCCAGCTCGTGCTTTCACTTCAAGCAGCCGCCGACTGTGCATCAATTCAATCAATCAACCTGCAACCAACCAAGCTGTTGATTGAGCTCCAGCGCTGTTTGCCAGTGCCAGAAGCATGTGCTGCGATCAACCAGCTTCATGTTGAATTTTTGCCGGAAAGGATCAGTAGATAATGGTTGGTGGTGCTCAAATTCAGAGGGTGCCATCATGTGTTTCTTATAGAAGTCAACTGCCACAGTGGGTCGAGTGTGTCTCCACCAGTGCAGATCGCGTGAGTCAGCTCAAATTTAGCTGCTTTTTTGCAAGGTTTTGCAAGCGCATGTGACTTGCCCAGCTGACCTGCCAAAAGGTGAGCTGAAAGGAGCTTCAGAAGGTCTCTCTAGATAAGCGTGATTGGATACCTGGTGAACTCGAGTCGTCTAGATGTTGGATTCATAGGGCAGCAATTCCCTCGAGCTACCATTGACTCTAGTCCATATTTGGTGCAGCATCCGTATGTAGTTGCCACCCAAAGGAGTCACTTGTGTACTAGAGTTTATCTTAGTCAAGGCTCTGGGCTTTTGGTTGTAGTCGATGAGGTCACGTGTTTGACGATCTATCCCTGGTGCGTTTTTGACAGATGGAGACCCTATCTGATAAAGATGCAGCCATTTGAGCCGAGCTTAAAGAAAAAGAAGTGGCGTCGCAGGAAGAAGTGAAGCCCCCCTATGGCAGCCAGACGAATGACAAGGTTCTTCTTCGAGTTCGTCCTCTAAATTCAACTGAATGCGTCAATATATGACCGTTTGTCTCAGTTAACTTGATCAGAGACATTACTGCAGGCCTGGTTTAGTCTGCTGTTGGCATAGTCGGATCTACATCATACTTGGTAATCATCATCCCAACCTGTCCATCAAGACAAATTCCTGGTCAAGTCTCTCTCTCATAGACAGCATGATGACTTTGCCGAGTGAACATTCAAGCCAGGTTGACTGCCCCGCTCTTGTTGTTCTGCGCAGGAAAGCGTCCTTCCCATCCAACACGAGCGGGGCACAAAGCGCAAACACATTGAAGCGGAGGGCGTCGATGGGTCAACAAAAGAACCACAAGGAAGTCTCCGCGAGCCTCGAACGGTCGATGGGGCTGGGTCTAGAGAAGCATCAGTAAGATTGCAAGCCCTACCTGCTAAGTGAAACTTTCCGCCTCAGTGGCTTGTGCTTGATAGAACCTGTTGTCACTCAAAGCCAGCCAGACGACAGCAGTGCTGTCCGTCAAGCGAAGCCTTCAAACACAGATTCCTCTTCATGGACAGTGCAGACAGCGTAGACAGAGCTTATTGAACTTCTCGTGCAAAAGAAGATTTTCTCTTTTCTTTGGACTGCCGGCTGCCGTGTCCCCCGCGCTGACAGCATGTCTGTCCGTCAAGCGAAGCCTTCAAAAACAGATTCCTCTTCATGGACAGTGCAGACAACATAGACAGAGCTTTTCACTGATCCTGATATTATTTGTCTTTTTTGCAGGGTACGGGTGAGCCCGCGCGGCCATCCGCACCTGAGGAGGACTGTAAAAACGAGCCTTCCGAAGAGGAAGGGAAGGACCCTTGCTCGGACTCGAGCAACGCGCGCCTTGAAATGAAAGGAGAGCTCAGAGCATACCCAATGGTGAGTCGTTCAACGGTTCCGGAAGGCTTACTTGACAAGCTCAACAATCCAGGAACGTTGATTTGAACCTGTCAACACTGATGTCTGGCGTTTTTCTATACACAAGAATTGGAAAAGCTCTGTCTTTACTGTCCACACTGTCCATCAAGGAAAATCGCTGATAGAAGATGCATTCGCATAGACAGAACGGATGTCTTTTGATAATACAAGCTGATTCGTCGGAGATCCTCACAAGCTAGCTCTTGTGGCGCGGGCCCTACTACGTCTAGATAAGGGCCGGCGGCCACACCATGAAATAAACCTCTGCAATTGACCATCGCACCGCGTCAAAGGCTCGACATACATGACACGGATACATTAAGTCAAGTTTAATTGGTGACTCTAATCAACTGGGTCCATTCGTAACATGAACATGGACTCATTGTCATATGCGCAAAGCTTAAATACTCTTGCTTAATGAAATGGCACGTATGACCGATTGCCACATCAAACTAGTGCATCTGGGATTCCAGCAGCTGCTGGTAGCGCGCATGCAGATCATTTATATAGTACGTACAAGCTAGTGATGTTCCATTCAGTTGTAGTGAGTGTATGGCTTTCATCATGTGTATGAATGAGCAGAGCCATGCATGATGATATCTAGGTCAATAAACTGAGATCCATCTTCGATTTCTAACGGTTGAAGTGGAAGGCTGGTCATGGCAGGCCGGATGCAATGCGTTTCATGGTAATTGCGCTCTCGATTTTGTAACTTGGGGAACAATGATCATTCAAGTCTATAATAAAAAAAGAGCGTGCGTCTTTAGGCAAACTCTATGTGACTGCTTTGACCTGAATCCGGAGGAGGAGGAAACCCTTTTGACGTGTTACTATGCCTGGATATAGTACATGATCTTTTATCCACTCTACACTGAACCCATGGTTGTCCATGTCCGATTTTGCCTACCATCTTGCAAAGTCATTACACTCTGAAACTTGCGATCTATGCCTCATTCCTTACCGCACCTTCATGTCATCGTCGTGCCTCCCGCTCATTGACTTCAAAAGATCCACGGCAATGGTGACCTGCGATGCTAAGCCGCCTAACTCGCTCTTAACCTCACTAAGTTCCTTCTTGATGTCCGCAAACTCTTTGTCAATGGAGTCAATTCTTGGCTTGAGCCACTCGTCCATGTTTTTTTGGGACACTGCAGTAAGAGCCGGGTTTAGATGCTGCTCAACGTCTTCTCCACGGGAATCGCACAGAAAATTGCCTGTCGGATTCAGATTGCCCTCGAGGTTCAAGCAGATGTTGCGCATGCAAGAGCTTGTGATGTCAGCCCAAGAAGGAAATCCTTCTTTCAAAGGAGCATTTCCATCCGTATTCCTGCGCCAACAGTGCTTGGGAATTCTTTCCTGCTTACATGGTTGCCGAACATACTTCCAACCAGCCACTCGGAGGCATCAGGTCTTACATTAGGTCTCACCTGCACTCACACCCTCGTCCTTCATTAGCTCCAGGGCGAAAGACCTGAGTCGATCCTTGATCACGTCCTGCGAAAGCGCCCGCGCCATGACGGTGGCGAGCTCCACCTGCCCCTCATCACGACGCGACATCTGGTTGAGTACCTCGAGGATCCGCTCTTGGCACTTTCGCTCGCCCCGCTCTTGGAGCAGTCCCACAGTATTCGTTCCAGTCAAGAACTGTACCCCGACCGTTAGGATTGGTCCTATGATGCTGAACGCCACGCCCCATTTAATGCTTGCAATCAGGTCCTGAAGCACCTGGAAGAAACAGGATGAAAACACGGTTACGTCTCGAGATTGTTGGATCAAACAGGCAAAAGACCACTCCGTGTTAGACACCCGCAGGAAAGGCAGGATGCAACAAGCAAGAAGGATCCACTTGTCAAAACAAGAAGGGTCGGCCCTCACCACCACAGCATGTGATCCATGTCAAGAGCGTTGCAAACAATTTGATAGCGGCCTCCGGCGAAAGTCTGGTTGGCCGTTCTGAAAAGCGCCTCGACTTGCAGCGAACCCCGAGGCAAATCAACTCGCTCACCTGCGTATCAAGGTCCCCCGGACTGGTCGCTGCAAAGGCAGGCTCCGGCCAAGACAGCGCCGCCAACCCGAGGCCCACCATCAACCTGCAGACAACAGCCGGGTCTTAATATTTGGGAAGAACTGCAACATTGGCCTAGGTCTTGATATTTCGCTTTTCCAACAGCCTTCTTTTGTCTGCTCTATCTAGAACAAAAGAGGATCGGGCCTCGCTCTGTGTGAAGACGAGACTGCATGCACGTGAGGGGTTATGAACTGCTCGGACATTGGCGCCACCAGGGGTGGATGCTTGCGACAAACCAAGGACAAGGTAATGTACTGGGTGCACTCGCCTGCATCAAGGAATGCAGGCGACTGCCTAGACACAACGGATACAGGGAGCGAGGGGTAGTCCTCTGGTGGCGGTCGCTTCCTCTCGGTTCAAGGAATGGAGGGGCCTTCAAAGCTTTGGGGTACCAAAATGCCTGCACGGCTCAGAAAAGAAGGCGCCGGGCTTTCTCTGCAGCGCTCCATTAAAAAGCAACTGAAGAACTGCAACCCCCCCGCTGAAGGCGGCCGGACAGTTCGGGAAGCCAATGCATCGCCAAGACTGCCCCAGAGGCAGGCAAAGATGGCTAGGCGGGCAGCCGAGATCGCAATCGCAACTGGCAGAAGGAAGCGAGCCTACTGGGCCGTCAGGAATAAGGAACCATTGAAGATTGCTGCTTGAGCCAAGCTTTGAGATCTTTGCTTTGCGCCTCGAGCTTGTGTTGATGAACGCTGGAACCCGGATCAAAAGTGCGCGAAGTTGGTGACCACGTGTCTAAGCAGACAATGCGCAGTTGGAAGTCGAATTTGATGGGCGGCAATCCTTTCAATCGGGAATTGCCAGAGTTCATTGAGTGCACTGTCTGAAACATACGGAAATCCTATGGGTCTGTGCACCCTGTTCCGAAACTGAGTCCCTTGTTCTATAGGGACATCTGTACAATGCTCTCTGTATAGTCATTACGACCTGATTCTTCTGTTTCTTTTGCATCAGCTGACCCAAACACAGTGCTCGCCATAAGTTCGAAACTCGAGCAGCTCTCTTTCCGCTGCGAAGGCTGGTAAGAGGTATTCAACCATCTAGTAGAGGTCCATTAGCTGACGGATAAGATTTCAGTGTTCAAGCCACCACAAGCTTCAGTGCAATTATCGTTTTATTGATTGAAGATTGAAAGGTGAGGTGTGAACCCCCACCTTCACAAGATCGGAGTTTTTAAATGACCCCCCACCCTCTTGACCACTCAGTAAGGTTTAGTGCGGCAACTTGGAAAGGGGAGGTGCTGTTGACCAGAGAGAGGTGAGCCTTTCCCGTCCATCGACATTTCCAGGAGATCTGAGCTGGCCACTTATGAAGCGTAGAATCAGATTCACAAAGAACGCTCTCACCACTTCAAAGGGTCCTCCACGGCGCCCATCTTGAGCAGCACCGCAGCGTAGTCCTCCTCCTGAACATGCGGGAACAAGTCAAACACAGGCCACACTCAACCGGCAACCTTGGACAACGCAAACGTCATTCATCCCCTTGAATGCGTCCATGGGCTGGATCGAGCAAGGTCCATGTGCACTGTGAGTGCACAAAAGCAATCAAAAAGTAGATGCCTTAAGAAGCCCGATCATGTGATCCTTTTCTTCCGTCAATCCATTGCCAGGGCTTGAAGACCAGTGTCCAACACCAAAGCAGGCCACACGCTGGGTCATGTCACACAATATAAAAGCTTGAGACTCTTTGCGCACGACTCCTTGCTTTCTCAATCACTGCTGGAGCATCCACCTTGGGGTCTGCAGAAAGAGTGCAGGACAGCATCTTGCAAAGGTGGATGCTGTCGTTGCTGCAAGGTGTGGGTAATGAATAATGACACCGAAAGTGTCCATCAGTTCCTTGGTACCTACCTCGACTTCCTTCCGGTGCTTCCCTTCTGCCTCATCCGTCCTCGGGGCGTCAAATCCGCAGCTGATGTGTCCGATAGCCGGCTGCCTCCCCTGCCTCACCGATGGAATGCCGCGGCCGCGACTGACGCCAAAGGCCTGCAAGTGACATAGGCGCGTTTAAAAGGGGGGGACCTCTGCAATCGCAGCGTATGCCTGTGCAGTTCCCAGACATCTGCGTCTGCTTTTGGAAAAGAAAGTGCACTGTGCCAGAAGAGACACGCAAGGCCCGTTGGTTTCCAAATGCTTGCAGGATGAAGGATGAGATTGCAATGCAAATGTTGCTGCCGGTACTGTTGCTTACAGCCATGCTCATAACGGCGTTGCATTGAAGCTGCTGCATTTACTAAAAAGGACCGCAACCCCTAATTCCAAAAACGGTCCACACCTGGCAGTTTTTCAAGAAGCTGACTTATTGCTCATTGTTGCCCCTGTAATGAAAAGCAATCCTGGCTGAAGCCAGCTTGTGGCACTTCACAAGTCCTCAATATGTTTGCTTCATCGCCTCGCTTAGACATGCCCCCAATTCAAACGGGGCAAAAGATTCTCAGACAGATCAACATTGTTCGCAATCGTTTTCAATCTGCAGACAGCAGATGCAGCCTGGATTATGAAATCTGTCACAGATCTAGGTTTTCTCCATGGACCAGAAAAGTGGCAGCCTGCTTGGAAAAAAAGTGAAACGATTCCTTCAACGAATCGGCTCTGCTTAGAAAGGGAAGCCCAGAACTTGGCAAGAGTAAGACATTTTAGACGCTTTGTTCAGAGACGCACCTTCTGTCCCTGGAATGTCAAAATTTGTGGCACCAGATGATCCCGGTGTGAAGTCACTCGCCCCCAGTTGCGACTCCCTTCAGCGCCCCTGACAGGAGTAGCGACCGGGTTGCTGCTGCCGCCATTCCCGCTAATCCTACCAGGCCCAGAAGCTAATTTGCGTTCAAACGAGACACCGAAGAGCGAGAGCCGAACCAACACCCCTCAACAGCTTCTAGTTTCAGGTGTTTGCAGAGACAGAAGAGGGGTGCAACTAACCAACTGATCGTTGGCATTCAATCGGTAAACCGCTTTTCGGGTGAAACGGGTTTGTGGAAGAAATCTTGGGTTTTTGGCATGCCATTTTCTGTGCTGTCCAGTGTGCGCCAGTGTGCGCGCGAGCGTACGCGTATTATTCAAAATGGCGACAGCCTCCGGAATGGTGTCGTGCAATGCCGCAGTACGACGTCGCAAAAAGAGTGGCGACCACCTCCCAGGGACCCTCGCTTGTTCGTCCGCCTTGTTACCCTTAAAAATCCGTCAGATCTTTTATGCGAGAAGAGTCCGGTCGACCGCTTTCCCAGGAGGTTCGATGGGCCACAGCAAAGATGGTGTATGACTCGGGAAGGGTATCCGACTAGCTACTCATACCTGGCACTTGAAAAGTTGTACAGTCGATTCACGACTGTTTGTCGTTTTATGCCATTATTGTAGGTCGGCCGACGGTCGCAGGCCCTCCGATGGAGACCCGCATGTGTGCTTGAAAGTCGCAGGCCGTAGATGACATTTCCAGCCTGTTCCAGGGGGTACAACCGTCGCCTCGGAACCCTCCTGCCAAACATGTGTCAAGTCGGAAACCCGGATCATCAGGGTTTGAATTTGCACATCGATATCCGACGGTCTGATCGAACGTGACCAGCCGCGCTCGGCGCAAAAATGAGATGATGGCATGCCGAGTGCAGCACAGTGTGCTGCCAATCTAGTTTTACGCGGTTTTGACCGCGATCGATCGGCTTTCTGACATTCCAACCGTGTACACGTCTGCATATCGAAGTTCTGTTTAATGTCTCTCTTTCTCTCTTAGATCGGATGCAACGAGAAGACGACCACGTTAGAGGAAGCCTAGGCTTGAGGGCTGGTTGAAAGCTTACAATCTAGTCGTTGCAATTACAACCCAGCTTAGCGCGCTCGCTACGGTAGCTTGCTTACGAGACGCCGGTAGTTGAGGAAGACATAGTGATAACCCCCGGCACACACATTCATATTATGTATGCAATGAGAAGCCTATGGCCCAGGTGGCTACGGCGAGTAGAAGAGAACATCATGCCACCGGACTGACTCTCGATTGCTTCATTGCGAACCCTAACCCTAAGCCTGAGACGTTTCAAGAGGAGGCTCGGCCCCTTCGGAATCGCTCAACCGCCCGAGCTGAGGCACTTTGGAATCGTTCAACCGCCTCAGTGAGCTGCCAGGTGGAGCTCGCTCAAGTGGTTTGCGTCAAATTTTTCCATTAAGAGAGAGCGGATCACCGGCAATCTGAATTCGCTCAACCGCCTAAGCTGCCAGCTGGAGCTTGCTCAGACGTCTGAGTCAGGTTTCTCTTTAGAGAGAAGAGCTCGGCTCCGGAAACGGCACTGTTGGAATCGATAACTGCAACAACCACCACAGTCTCAGCTGATGTCTGGGCTGAGCTTACTGTTGATGTCCAGCTTGTCCGCCTCGAATCGCAAACTTTTTGGCCAGCCAAAATGCTTGCTCAGGGGATCTATAAAAAGGGGAGCTGCCCCCTCCATTCAAACAATTCCCCAACACTTTCTTCCTTAGCTTCTCCTCAACCTTCCTGCAAGCATCCTCTTCCCTCTTTCCCCTCTCCCAACACCAGCTGCCACTGTCTCATCAGGACAGCTGCCGATTGAAGTGACGTGCCAGCAGGGCACAACGCAAAGCTGCGCAGCGCCGGCAGATCATCTTGAGCTGGCTGCCTCTCCATCAAGCTGCTGGCACAGCGCATATCTCTCCAGCTGAGCAGAACCGGCAGATGCTTAAGTTGATTGCCTGTTCGTGGCCTATTCTCCATCAAGGGTTTAGAACGCAGAAGTTGCGCAGAGGGCCAAAAAGCTCATACAAGGTGAGCGGGGCGCTTTTTCGAGGGTGCAGATCCAGATGGCTGATCGTTGGAAGAATACTTAGACTCAGCTTCAACCAGACCAGGTCCAGTGGACAGGCATCTATCTCTAATGCTCAGCAGATGCGCGGCAGATCCGCCAGCAAACTGGCTCGTTATCAAGAGTTTCTTGTTAAGGACAGCTAGAAACGCTGTGAGCGCTGCGCTCAATAGAAGGGGCAGACTTTGGCATCTCGTGGGAACCTCCAAGCTTGTTGAGAAAACACGTTTGCACCTTCTGAAAGCTACTATCCTTCACCTTTGTGAACAGATGTTGTCTGGACCGGAACCCAGTTCCAGTGAAGGAGAGGGCGACAAAAGATCCTCAGTCGGCAGCGACCAGGAAGAGTCGCCGTGTCACTTCCTCCAAGACGAGGCTGACAGCATGATGCATCTGAGCCAAGAGGTCGGCAACATGTCGCTATCGCCCGGCCCCTTTCGACGCCACGCCAAACGCCTGAAAGTCGACTTCCTTTCCGAAGGTCTGGAAGACAAGTCAAGTCCAGCAATCTCGTCCTCAGATGCGCTGGTGCCCGCACTACCTCTCCTTTCAGATGTGGTGAGACGTTTGAGCTGAACACGGTTTTCAAGAGTGTCTTGTGTCCCAGATGTCCAACCAAAATCATGACTTTCCAGAGGCTCACAAGGGACCATGTCCGAGCCCTCTGTCCGACCAGGAACGTGACTATCTCAAAGGCTCCAAAACAACCATGTCTGAGATGTCCAACCAAAATCAAGACTTTTTCAGAGGCTCCCAAATGGCCATGTCCGAGATGTCCGACCAAAATCAAGACTTTTCAGAAGCTCCCAAACGGCCTTGTCCGAGATGTCCAACCAAAATCAAGACTTTTTCAGAAGCTCCCAAACGGCCTTGTCCGAGATGTCCGATCAAAATCAAGACTTTTTCAGAAGCTCCCAAATGGCCATGTCCGAGATGTCCGACATGAATCAAGACTTTCTCAACGCTTCCCAACGACAGCAGAATAGAAGATTCACCTCTTTTCGCTCTGAGTGTCTAGTTGGAATGAACACAAGTTTTAGAGGCGCGCTTTATGCAAGCCAGTAACTGAAGCCGATTCCTTCTTGTATGCAGCCTCACATGGCCCTGCATGCCCAATCGACTGATGGAGCTCAGACGGATTCTACTCCTTCACTGGCAACTTCAAAACCTCCCGTAAGTGGAAGAACCCTCCCTTTGTAAGCACACTTGCACTCATTTGACTGCTAGTGGTAGATTGAGCAGCTTGTTTTGGTGATGGCAGTCAGTGGGTGTGATCAGGCCTGGGTTACAGATGTTTAAAAAGACACCGGTCGCAGATGCTGCCACCCTGATCGAGATCGCCTTCCTCTCAGAACAGGGCCATGTCCGAGATGTACGACCAAAAATCAAGATTTTTTTAGAAGCTCCCAAACAGCCATGTCCGAGATGTCCAAGCTTTTTGTGCGGTCTTTTGAGAACCATTATGATGACGTCAGCACCGCGGCAGATCTGTGTCCTACTTTTTTTGCAAACTTGGGAAAACATTCTCCTTCTGCAATATGCTGATATCGTCTCGTGTGCCCTTTCTTCCTCGCAGGATACCGCACCCTGTTTGGACCCCATCCTCGCCGCCGCACATCATTTCCACTCGTTGGGAGTCGTGACCATCACCTTCGACCTTGAGGAGGAGCGCAATAAGAAGAGCGAAGTCAGGAAGGCCGCAAAGGATATGGGGTACTGGAAGCGGGCCAACCACGACAATTGCCTGAGCGAGAAGTTTGCCAGGCCTGGGCGGAACTCCATCGCCATCATCACGGAGGAGTCCGACCTATTTGCAGTCGACGTCGACGTGAAGGATGGGGGCTTTGAGGCGCTACAGCAGATGCTCGAGGAGCACGACAACTTCCCAGAGGACACGCCCCGCCTGACGACGGGGAACAAGGGCATGCACGTCCTCTTCTCCCTGTCCAAGTCCGAGGAGGCCGGTCTGCGGAACGGCAGCAATCGGACCCGGATCCGGTACAAGGGAGAAAAGGTGGGCATCGACATTCGCGGCAGAGGGGGGATGCTGTACACGGCACCCAGCAGCTACCAGGGGCTTGACGGCGAGCTCCGGCGCTACGAGTGGGATCACGAGATCCTCCCCGACCGCTCTAATCTCATGGCAATTCCGGATTGGCTGATTGCCATCCTGAATGAGGACCAATCGGGTGCGGGGAGCACTATCAATGGGGGCGGTTCAAGAACCGGCTACGTCTGGGGCATTTGATGCCAAGCAGCCTAGCTGATCCTGATCATCCACAGCCCGAAGTTCGAGCAGCACCGGGGCGATTAAGGGCTCTATCTGGGCCAACATCAGATCAGGCCGGTTTGATCTATGCTTGCAGTCGGGATGCAATGTTCAATTCCAATTGCAGGGGATTAAGCGCAACCGAAGCTGTGCCATGAAAACTTTGGAATCGCATTTTTGATAGCTTCAAGCATGATTGGAGCAGCTAACTTCCAAGATCGAACCTTGTGGTCATGTCCGAGAAGTCCGATCAAAATCGAGACTTTTTACTCAAGTCTTGATGGTCTTGCAGGACCGCCGCAGCAACAAGCCAAAGGCGGGCATCCCTCGAGCTGCCTGCCCCCGTCGTGGGAGTTTTTTGATAAAGAGCCCGACATCGCCGTGCTGGAGCGCATCAAAAGCTGTTTTGCAGAATGCGGCGACAGTGGTTCGCGCTTCGACAAGCGAAAGGGCAACCTGTACGTCTTCCGGGTTCAAGGAGAGCGGACATGCCCCTACGGTCATCACCACCAGGGTTCCAACAATCTTTCAATCCTGGTGAAGGGCAGCAGTTTCTATTACCACTGCAACTCGTCCGAGTGCCAGTCCATCATGCCACGGAAGCAGATCGGCGACTTGAGTGGTGTCGAGGAAGAAGCACGTGGCTCTGTGCGACCAGTGGATGTTGATGGAGATGAAGCCGTGCTCGGGTGTGTTACGAAGGAATTCGTGGACTACTGGGCGCTGCAGGGGGACAGGGGTGGGAGCCGGATAAGTTTTTGCAAATGTATTCGGTCTGCAAGAGGTAAGCACAGATTCATGCCATAGTCTGGATAGGACACAGCCCTTTGGGTGCTTTTGAGAAAGTCGTGATTCAGGTTGGACATCTCGGACATGGCCGAAGTCAGGACCTTTCAGAAAGTCTGTTTTTAGGGCGGACATCTCGGACATGGCCGAAGTCAAGACCTTTCAGAAAGTCTGTTTTCAGGGCGGACATCTCGGACATGGCCGAAGTCAGGACCTTTCAGAAAGTCGTGATACAGGTCGGACATCTCGGACATGACCGTTCAAAGTCTGTAAAAACGCCACTGGATTGAAGCTATTGTTCACGCCCCAGGATTGTGTACACTTCGGCGGGCTTCTACATGTGGACCGGGAAGGTGTACGAGCGGGCTCATGACGTTCAAGTGCTGTACATCCTCATGCACCAGCTGAGCACGATCATCGACCGTGTCAGGCGCGAGCTGCGAGAGGAAGAGAGGAAAATCCCCAAAGATGACAAGGCCAAGCTAGAGATAGTCGAGGCGAAGCTCAAGCTGCTTCGTGACTACAATAACAGGCGTACCACGGAGGACACGTTGAAGGTTGTGAAAGGAAAGTTGTTCTCGAACACGTTTCTTAACGAGCTCGACCGCAATCCTGACATCCTCAACGTGAGCAACGGAGTGATCGACTTGCGCACTGGCAAGCTCGACATCCACCGCCCACGATACATGTGCACGAAGCTTGCAGAAACGATCTATAGCGTAAGTTTTCACTGCTCAATCTGTTGCTTTCCGTGTCAAAGATTGTTTCTCAGGCAGCCTTCCATTGAACGCAGTGAGATCCGCTCGCAACTCTGAACATAAGGTCGGCATTCGGCTGTTGATTCGTCGCTTTAAGTTGCGAAGTAGCTTTCATCACATCGTCGAGCTCATGATGCTACACTTGTGATTCTGGTGTAGGGGCTCGAGCTTCCCTCCCCTCGGATCGAAGACTTCTTCAACGATGTGTTCAAAGGAGAGGAGGAGGTCATCCGGACCCTCCAGATTGTGCTCGGCTACGGCATGACGGGGTCGAAGGCTTGCGAGATCATGGTCTTCTGGATCGGATTGGGCGGTAAGTCCTGCATCTGGTAATGGACACGAAGAGCTTTTTGATATCTTTCGAGGACAATTCTAAACGGTCCGAACAACTCGAACACGGCCCTAATCTTTTGAAAAATCATGAGCCTGGCCCCTGTGCAAAATCACTGATTGGTTCTAATTGCTAGTCTAGTTGCTTTTGAATCGAAATCTGATATCTTGATCATTTTGTGCAGGGAATGGGAAGGGCGTGACCAAGGAGATGTTGGAGAAAGCTTTGGGACCCTACTGCGGGGTCATGTCCACGGACGTGGTGGTGAGAACGGCGGGGCAGAGACCGGCGTCCAAAGGCGCTCCCACTCCCCATGTATGCATGCCTTGAAAGGGCTTCGCTTCAGCATCACAGATGAGAACAATGAGGAGGCAGATGTCGGGCTCGATTACAGGAACCACGGGGGGAGGAAATGTCTCTGCGAACGCACCATACGGCCAGACGGAGACATTTCCGCTCATGAATCTCCCAATCCTGCTGACCAACCACCCCTCCAAACTCCGGGACGTCACCGAACCGGCTATGCTCCGTCGGTTGCTTATCTTCGACTTCCCCAACGTCTACGTGAGCCGGACCAGATTTGACCCGACCAACCCTCGGCACCAGTCTGTGGACGAAGGTTTGAAGGCGAGGATGCAGAAAAACGAGACGCTCGAGCAGTTTCTGTCATGGCTGGTTCGAGGGGCGGTGAAGTTCTATGCGCAAGGGGAGTCGATTGGAGCTGTCCCGCCCTCTGTCCAGGCAAACTTGGATACGTATCTCGCACTGAACGACAAGCTGCAGCAGTTCATCGACGAGCACTGTACAATAGATCCACAGCTTAGGGGAAACGCGGCGGCGTTTCTCAAGGATTACAAAGCAGCGTCGGGCGAGCTTACAATCAGCGTCGAAAGCTTGGCTGCTAGAATGAACAAGAAGGGCTTTGTAAAGAAAAAACTCGAAACCCAGAACCACTTAGGTAAAAGGCCACATGTGTTTGTAGGCATTGAAAGCAGTTACGAACCAAGTTAGTCGTGCATTGATGGACACGAGACCTCTTCCTTCGACGTTGTTATGAATATGCAAACGTGCATGCCGACCATAAGAAGTCCGTGTCCAACGGTCTGAAAAGTCTGTCTTCATTGCCCGAGTTGTCTATGAAAGCAAAGTATTGTATGCAATGGTTTGCATTGATAGACAACAGATTGGGATCGGACGGAATGATCATTCACGAGCTTATTCGATTTTGATCGTAGAAGCCTGAGCTTTGCTAAGGGTTCGAAGCTTTTGTCTCAACGGCTGCCGTTGAATTTGAGGTGGGGGTGAGAATCCTATTCTTAGAATCAAACTCGATGCCAGCTTCCTTCAACTTCGAGATCGTCTTGGGATGAGGTTGCCTAGTCCTTCCGCTCCTCAGCCGCTTGGCAGCATCTTGTAGCAAGATAGCTTGCTTATGTCTCTGATACCAGACAGACCTGTTCTTGAGTACGTTCTCTCTATCACGCTTATAGCGGGTTTGCCTCTTCATTTGAATCAATTCAATGCACAAAGGCACGCCCTCGGAGGATAGAGGAATCTTCGAGTCGTTTGGAAACAGTGCATTTTGAACGATACGATGCTTATTACCACAAAGTGTGCAAGGTACAAGACGCGTGATAGTTATCTCAGTGCTGCTGGTCGCCATCTTGTCGTAAATGTTCAGTTATCTCTTCATTGAATAATTTTTCCAACGGGCAACGCGATTTCAATCGTCTTCGGCGTCCTTGCAGACCTTGAGTATCCCCATAGCAATTGACAATAGAAGCTCACCCTCCTTCACGGAATACCCTGCACAATCTCCGTAAGAAACACCTGCTTCGATTATGGCCTTGACGTCGTCGTCACACACGACGAGGGCTTCGTTAGAGAGTTGGCGAAGCAAAAGCAGAACGCCTTGTCGAAGCAAAGCCATGTTCCAGTGGACTTCTGAAGCCACGATCCACAAGCCTTTCATAGTGAAGGGGCCCAAAGCTCTCAATCTCGTCGATGAACGGAAGCAAGAGCTCTATAGCACCCTCGTGGCTGCTTTGGCACGTAGTACGAATACCCACTCTCCACCATTCTTTTTTGTATCACTGGAGGAAAAAAAAAATTGGCATGTTCGGCCTTCGTCTCTCAATCCTCGTCGCTTTCAACTGCAACACATTTAAGCGTAATTCCCTTGCTCTGAGCTTTTCCCGCGGCTTTTGAGTTGCCCGTGGTAGCCGATCGCTTTGCCTTGCCTTTATTAGCAGTTGATCTTGGACGGCCCTTTGAATTCTGCTTCGTAGCTTTGCTCACAGCTTTGCATTTCTTGGTGCTCCGTTGCTTCTTCTCTGGCTTCGACTCTGCTGAGGCGTGCATCTCAAGAAGCTTTTCGACCGGTATCTTGGTAGCTGATGTAGAGAAGCTTCCCTGAAAGGGGAGGCCGACAGGTCTGTCACACTTTTTTACTGGAGAGATCTTCACTTGATATCCGAAATCCTTCTTTAAAGAGCCTCTTGTCTTTTCTCTCAGCAGTACATAGACACTGCAGAGTGCTTTAGCTGCACCGTCAGATTTTAGCGCCCTAAATAGCTGGCTACCCGCGCGCGCACCTGCCTGCGATACACGGCCTTCCTCAGCGTCGATTTCCAGCCGAGTGTCTTCAAGGAGGCTGGAAGCATCTGATTGCTTATGGTCGAGCGCAAGGATCACCTTAAAGCTACGTTTTGAGCATGCACTATCCATGGACCGGCTGTATGAATGTAAGATCAGATAAATACGCTGCAAAGTGCATCATGCTGCCCAACCTCAGAGGTTGCCCCCCTGAAGCACTTTGGTCGCCTCGTGGACCTGGCAAAATTGTTGACAGCCGATTATTAGAAATCGCCCTTTTCATCAAAGTGTCCGCTACATAACGCACTCGGAAATGACGGACGAGCTCCGTCACTATTCTAGAAGGGGGAGTCCCGATTTCGACGAAATTCGGACTCAGATGTGGGACCCCAAAAGCACAAAAAGCTGGGAGCTTTTGCTAAAATTGACCGCTTGTTGGGAAAAGTTGTCGCTTCAAAGTTTGAATTCTGGAATACAGCACAAAATCAATGATCATGTATCTGAATCTAAAATTCAAACGGTGGTGCATTTTAGCCGGCTGCGTTTCCATCTCATGTTTTCGAATTCTAGAATCGAGAAAAAAACAGTATCTTTTCGAGGTATGCAGCCCTCGTCTTACCCAACTTTAGCAGCAAAGGTAGAAATTCGAAAAGG